GTATGTTCTTCCATTCTGTGTGTCTTTTCCCCCCACCAGGCGATGGAGCTGCTGGTGGAGAAAGTGATCAGCAGTGCTGCAGGCCCGCTCAGCCCAGGAGAGGCCATGCGCCGAGTCCTGGAGTGCATCTCCACAGGCATCCTGCTACCAGGTCAGACAAATGTACATGTTAATGAGATTAGATTGATTGTTTCATGTCAGGGACATTTTCCTATCTCCTACGCCTCTTTCTGTTGCAACAAAACCACCTTATGTCATACTTGAACCTTTTTAAAAGAACGATTCACAATTCCCTGCCTCTGATTGAATAAGTTTTATGATCATATTTCCATGTTTAACTTGTTTCTCCTCCTGTAACGCAGATGGACCAGGGTTGATGGACCCCTGTGAGAAAGAGCCAACAGATGCTCTGGAGAGCATGATGCTTCAAGCCAGAGAGGACATAACTGCCAGCGCACAGGTACCCAGACAAAGCATTTATTCTATGGCCACTTAAAAGATAGGTTTCTGATAGGCTGTGAAGTGTGGATTCTCTTTTAGTAACTTAGTATGTGTTTGTTTTAGCTGTTTGTTCTTTAGTTATGAATTGATTAGTCAGTATTAAACATTGGGTGAAGATTGCAGAGTTCCAGCAGATCCTTAAAAAGTCTTAAAAGGCATTGAATTAAAAATGGCCTTAATTGGTATTAAAATGCTTAAATCAATCTTTTAAAGGTCTAAAAAATGCATAGGAACATAGTAAGTAAGATTTTATAAATTATCTTATTCTGATGTAGTATTTTAAAATCTCAAATAATTTACTGAATGTCTCTCGCATTAACATCACGCAGATCAGAACAGCAGAACCAGTAGCACTCATATTTTGTTTCTGGCTGGGATGCTCAGAGCAGAGGATCCCAGCTAGCTGCTAGCTCAATGTACCCTCAAAGACATGGAGAAGGGCTAATACAACAAAAAATGGCTATTTTAATAACATTATGCTTGGTGTATTTTATGCAAAAAGTTTTTAAAACTCAGCACGATAGGCATCAAGGCAGTGGAGTCCCACATACAATGATAGAAACACAAAATTGCCCAGAAAATCTGAAAGAAAATCCTAGGAATTTCACACTTTTGTTCTCCCCTTATCTCTGCCACAAGACAAATAATAGTGTTATAAGTTAAATATTTGGCAAAGTTCCCCTAACCTCACACAAGTGATGTTGGTTCCTGTTTTTTCTTTTGTCCTTAATTTAGGTTATTGTAAAATTGGTCTTAAATTTCATTTTGTGTGGCATTAAAAATTCTTTGAAAAATCATTCATCAAACTTGCCTTAAGTTATAGTAACCACAAAGACCGCAACAGTCTTGATGCGAGAGATACTTACAACACAAATTTAATTTCAAGAATGTTTGCTATTTGGTGGATCTGGAGGCCCTAAGCGGCTAACAGTCAGAGTAGGAAAGACAACTTTTAAAATAATGGTATTCACAATGAAGCTAGTTATTGCATGTCATTCTTCTCCCCTTGTTAAAATGTAAAAATGTAAAATCATGTACCTACAAAAAAAAAAAAAAAAACCTCTACAAATCTACATTTCTCTTTCCTGTTTTCTCTGGTTCCAGCATGCGCTGCGGCTGCTTGCTTTCCGTCAGATCCACAAGGTTCTGGGCATGGAGTCTCTGCCAGCGTCCAAGGCCAGCGCTCGCAACCGCAAGCGTCGGCGGGACGGCAGCGAGACGGGAGAAGGAGAGGGGGAGGGCAAGAAGGACAAGAAGGAGGAAGCATTGACTGCTTGACCTTTGTGTCCACAGCGGAGGCGTTTGCTAGTTTAGAGACTGGTAGAATGTCACAACTTTCAACTTTTTCTTATCTCGAAAACAATCTTAACACGCAGCTATACACATATGAATATAACTGACTGTACATGTTACATGTCTGCCCTTGAATTAGGAGGAGTCATGTGTTGGGAGGAGGAGACTGAAGCTTGAGAACCTGTACTGCAAATCCTTCTCTCGTATAGTAATATCCCACAAGATTCAGTGTCTTTTAAAGTGTGCAGAGGAAATTGGCTCAGTAAAAATCATGAAAATGACTGATTGCATTATTGCACACAAACTACTGACCATCCCTCCCCTGTTTATTCACCGTAGCTTAACCACTAAAGTGTACTACAGTTGTGTTGTTTTCTACGATGTTGAAGGGAAGCTTTGGTTTGTTTCAACCTGGACCCTACTTTTCCATGTTTTTGTGTCAAAGTGACTAATGGGAACAACATTTTTTATTAAAGTGGTCCAGTATTGAGAAAATAGCAGCTGTAAAACAAGCTTCAATGTAATCCCTACAGGTAATTGTGCACCATCAATTAACGTCCACTACAAGTGCTCGTTTTGCCACTGACAGGCTTATAGAAGAAAGACCCTACAGAGAAATGAAACATTTGTCCTGTTTGTTATTGTGACCAAATCTTGCTCAAAGACAAGTCTCCTTATGAAATCTTGCGAAAGGCTACTTTTTGCTGGAAAAACAACGGTAGAGGTGTTACAGAGAGTTGGAGAGAGGAGTGTCAGGAAGAGTTTGATGTGTTGGAGTACAAGAAATGTAGCTTAAGCCCTGTTTCCACCAAACACTTCCGGTATGGTACCTTTAAAACAAAAGTAGCCCTGCAGACATGGTACCTAGACTCTAGCGTTTCCACTGCATATCGTACTCTTGAAATGTGGGCGGGGTTTTTGTCACTCATTGCTTTGTGCAGCACTCACTGTATTTCCTCATTTATCAGTCTGCACCTTGCTTATCGTCCACAGAACGAGACTGCAGGGCGACATTTCTGAACAAAATAAATCAGGCTGCAGTGAGAGTCTCTCTCTGGGATATTTAAGAATAGTGGGTTTGTGCATTTAGTCCTTCTCAGGCAAGCTCAGGGGTTTAGTGTTGCTGGAGTCCACAGGAACGACGCTCTGTGATGCTTTTTTTCCTCTCCGAGCAAGGTTTGATACACACAGTTCATATAATCTGGTCAAATTAAAATATATTTTTAAACACTTGAAGATCCACTCATATCTAAAAGTGTCTGTCATCCAAGAGAGGGAATTAAAACTAAAGTAATGGGCAAAGTTTCATTGGATTCACGTCGTCATACCTAGCTCATACATGACTAACACAAGTAATCGTTCCACCCTTTCTCAGACTACAGCTGCTGCAAGAGGCAGCAAAACATCCTTTCATTTTACAGTTTTAGTTTACTAATATATGTAAAACTCTCCACAAGCTTCAAAACCAGCCACAACTCAGCCCTGATCAGAGTGACTGTCTGCCATTAACCAATCAATGGACTGCAGTGTTCACAGCTCCACCTTTTAGTACCAGATCTGTGTGTTAGGTACCCCAACAGAGGGGAGACCAAAATGGGGACGGTACTGAACGCGTCCATTGGTACCATCTACAACTTTTCACATCAGAAACAGAAAAACAGCGTACGGAACTGAACTGTACAGTACTGCTTGGTGGAAACAGGGCTTTAGTGTGATCGAAAAGATTTTCAGTGACAATGTGGAAAAGATTTCATGAGATTTCAGAACAAGACTTGAGCAAGTCTTGGTCACAATAACAAATAGATGAGTTAAAGGTAAAGAAAAAAAATTCTCTGTTGCTTTTAATAACCAATACCAAACACTTCCCAGTGGACAGTTGCCTGTAGGGACTACATGCAGCCTGTTCCACCACTGCAGCTCTCAGTGCTGGACCAGTTTCAAAAATTGTTGCTCTCATTAGTCACTTAGACAGAAAACATGGGAAAATAGACCCAGGTTGAAACAAATCAAAATTTCCATTAAAGCCTCCAATTAAATTATCAGCACTTTAAGCTTTATTTCCAACAGAGTCTGATCTCTTCTGCTCGAGTCAGGACTGAACTAACGTTTGTGCGTGACATTTGTACACTGAAATGTGTTGTTCACCCTGTGTTTAAAAAAGAAAAGACGGGTTCAAGTTTAGAAGCTTTGAAACTGCGAGAAAGATCACAGAAGGCTGACCGTGTTTAGGTGTACCTACATACAGTACTGTGATGTTCATTGTGCCTAAGATGACACATTAGCTGCTTCTCTTCACGCCCTCTAGGCTCCCTCTGAAGCCTCAACATTTCCTCATACATTTTGACAATTCAAGATAAAAGTTGTGAAACCCCAAAAGGCCCTGCATCACACCTTAAAAACAAGGCTACACTAAAATAACTTCCTTTTTGAAATATGTCACCATGGTTTTGCGATAAACGTACAAAGACACAGAAGCTCTGCCTTGTGAGTTTTTCTGTGGAGGTCACACTGGAGATTAAATCTGTCTGAGGAGAGAGAGAGAGAGAGAGGTCTTATGTTGCATAGTCTGTAGCATGCTGAGGGAATGAAGCACTTAAGAAATGACAATGTTACTGTATGCAGCCATAACTGTATCATTTAAATAATATGCCTAGTAATCTTTTTTCTTCCAGAGTATGGTTAGCAGAAGAGAGAAGCTTTAGTGTGAAAAATAAGACTGAATATCTACTGTAATGATCAAGTAGTCCTTTGACTTTCTTCCTTGTGCCTGCATCATGGTGTGTGTCACAGAGTACGGGGAACATTTATGTTTTTGTCGGGTTGATATTGTATTGAGCTCATTTCACACACATGTAGGACAGGGAAGGGACAGTTGCACAACTATTTGGCTTAAAAGTTGACGTGAGAGAATTATTGTGCCGTTTTTAGTTTGATTTTCATTTATCAAGAGCATCATATAAGTATTGCTTATTTTATTTCTGAAGGAATCTATTTTGTATTGTTTAAAAAAGGAAAGTGTGAACGTTGCTGTCCTTTATTATTTGAATGTCTTTGTAGTGTTGCAAAATTAAGGGGAGATTAAAACACTTTTAAGCCATCTTGTCTCCTGGGTATGTCATTTTTAGGAGGTGTTTCTGGAGAAGGAGCCGAGTCACTCTCAGCGTCACTTCTCACGTCGCTTCATGAAATATAAACCGCATTTTTTCCTAAATATTGAGGAAGTAGTGACAGACGGATAACAGCGCTCAGTCCACAGCTGCAGTGTGTCTGTGACATGAAAATGTTCAGTATCGGTTCCTGCTGACTTGTCGACATTTGACAGCAAATACCACTGCTGAGTGACAGACTATTTGAAGTCGTTTTCTTTTCTCTGTCCTGAAGAGAGACGCATCTGAAAGCATCTGTCCAGAGAGCCGCCGCAGGTACTGAAACATTTATACCGACAAGAAACCAGCCTGAACAAGCTGTCCAGGGCGTTTGACTTTTAATTTATGTGACAGCAGCTGAGAACATCCTGCTACACCCGCTGACATCCTCATATTTATGCCGTTTTGTATTTTTGGATCACCGACAACAGATTCACTGAACGTCTCTATCTTTCATCATTCAGAGACATTTCTGTCCTCGACAGGTTTTCAACGCAGAAACATCACACCCTCCAGCCCTGCTCATGGCAAAGGTATGTACTGTGATTTACAACAGCAAAACAAATTTTTATTTTGTAGTGTCAGTTAATACAAACAGCTGGATCAAGTCTCCTTTAACACGGGGCTGTTAAATCTGATAATCAAGGGTTAAAAATACATATGTGAGATTAATACAGCCTGAGCACTGAAGTCTGAGCTGAAGTTGAAACAGTTGAATAATGTTAGAAAAAAATTACCAGGATGTGATTTTGGGCTGTTTAAGATGTTTTGGAGAGTATTCCATGTGCAGTTCTCCTTTGAGCATAATATTGATCTACAGTAGGCTATTTGTGAGTATTGCATTACTATCACTGATTAAAGGATAAATTTATGTTTAGGTCAAAGGTTTTTTGGGGTGTCCCAGTGGGGTATGGTAGTTAGGATGGGCCCCAGTGCAGGATTTTGCATCTAAAGTAGCTACAACTTGACATTGGACAACATCAACATATATATCACCCATCAGTCATTAGGGCAAATCTGTATATGACAAACATACCAAATAAAAGAAGAACGTAGTTATTAAATTCAATATTTTTTATAGCTTATTTGTGTTTTTTTTAGTCTAAGTAAACATATAATTGTGTTTAATGGATTGCATATACAGATGTTGACCCCACTTTTTTAATTTGACATGAGTTCGTCTTTGAACATGGAACTGCACTGCAACTGCCTGCACTGTTTATATTTACGCCCTTGGGGTGTCCATAAATTCCTACTAATTTCCCAAGATTCCGAGAAACACTTATGTAATTTGGCAGTGATTGACAAAGTAAAAGTAAAACAAAGTAAAATGAAGACATTGTTAAGTTAGAACACCTCCGACTTACCCTTGAGTCTTTTCAGTGGCCCCCTAAAGGGGGGCTGTGGGGGACCATGGCCCCTCCATGGCAAAATAATTTGAGGCCTATATTACGATATCCATGAGGCTGTGGAATGCTCTTTTTTAAGCTTGTGCGAAGGTGGTGGTATCTTATGAGACTAGACAATCTTAGGTATCAATCAGAAAGTGTGCTTGTTGCTAAATAATGCTCCCCACAGTTACCGTAAAACTTTCTTTAGTAGCCCGGGCTATTATTTGCTTAAATCACTAAAGTCAAAAGGCCTATATATGGGACAGGCCTTTAATTCTATTTCCACAAAACTGTTGCCCAGCAAAGGTAGGAAATAGAATCAGATTGTTTATTCTTTATTAAGAGTTGGAGAACTCTTACAAACAGGATGAACGCAGCAGCATTGAGGTGTAAAGCAAGATGGAGAAATGAGCCACATCACTCCAGCAGAGATTTTCTTTCAGAGCTCTAAGAATTAGGCTTCAAATAAGATATTAATCATGAATCATTCATTTGATCTAGCTCCGACAGACAGTGCATCAGAGGGAGAGGGAGTTTCAGCACTCGAGGATTACAGCACCCAGCATACCGACACAGCTCCACTTTATCCCTTTAAAACAATACTCACAACTTGGATTAATTTTTATGACAAACCCCTTTGATTCTTTTGATCTGAGCACCCTTACGGACTAAAGGAATATGAATTACTTAAAGGGTAATGGAGGAATGGACACATAATTTTAAGCAGCCAACAACCCAGTTTTATACATCCGAAGAATGCCTAAAGAGACAGGTGTTTGTTTGTCAAAATGTGTAGCCACACTGGGCTAGTAAAAGGGACTTTAATTTGGACTAGGAATTTAATTGAAGTTTTACAGTAGGCTAAATTTTGGTGAGGGAACAACTAGCACGACTATTTTCAAAGAGGTCCCTTGAACTCTTACTTCAAGGCATCTGAATGAAAGTGAGGTCTTTGGGCACCCATGGGTCTCCCCTAAACTTGAAGGCTTGTTTCCTGTAAATTTTTTGTTCCTTACAATCATGTACTCCTTTAAATTAAAGCTGTATAATTGCCTTTTTAAGGAAAAGGACAAGCAGCCTATTTGATCAATGAATTGCCGCCCATGTTAAATCAGGACTGTTGTGTAACTCAAAATGTTAGCTGTGCCAGTATTTTAGTCTATGCGCATCAGATAATTAATAATATTACCTGTAAAATAAGAAACCAAACTATATCTGTCCTGGAAAATACAGCCTTATTCAGCCGTACCCTCTGAGTTACCTGATGTTCAAACACACAGCCACAGTGTTCTCATTAAGCAAGTATGCCTGCAAGGACGGTACACTGTGTATCAAAGACGCAGCAGCAGACCATCTGCTTTGTTTGATGAGTTTCAGTCACTGGTGTCACAGGTGAGCTCACCACAACTGTACCTAAATAAAGAAACTAAAGGAAGAAGTCGCCCATCTCAGCCTGAGACTGTTGAACGTTGACTCTGCCTGTTTGCAAGTGTGATAATAAAACTCAGACACTCTTTGTTTGTGAGTAATTTCCACCAAAATGTCAGTATGCGATTCCTTACTGACAGAGTTTTAACTAGCCTGTATGTTTCAACAGCACAACAGGAGTCCTAAAATTCAGTTATGGCTTTTGGTTTTGGTGCCACCCAAATATTTTCTGGCAACCCCTATGAAAAATTCTTTGTGCGCCACTGGCAATTTGGCGGTGATTTAAGGTGAAATAGAGACACTGTTAAGTTGGTACACCTCCACCTTAACCTTGAGTCTTTTAGCCGTTGCAGCTCAGCTGACGGGTCATTTGTTTACAGGCAAACAAACCTATTCAACAAGTTCATTCAAGATAATTCCCAGAAATCCACAATGATTTAAATAAGAGAACTTTGCCTCTATTTTCCCTATTATTAAATATGCCAAACTACATAGTTCTTTGATGGAAACTTCAAGAAATGTTTAGGTAACTCTCTCATTAAATAAAACATTAACAATATTTGTTATGTTTATGTATCTTTTAATACTGCCAGCCATTTTTTTTTAAGTTAAAAGTCTGGCATTACTTAAGACAGACGCTAAGATGTTAAAGTTTCTCTGCCTCTCTTATTCTTCTTCTTCTGCAGATGAGCTGGGCTGCCGGTACACAGTGTGTGGCCAAGGGGGGCCACAGGAAACCAAAACCTGGAGAACTGTCTTACCACAAAGGAGACATCCTCACTATTATTGACACCAGCATGGTACTGTCATGTTTGAAAAGCTCCACAGACTGTGGTTATTATGACTGTGCATTTTTTCCATCATCTGATACTTTGATTGCTCTTTTACAGAAGAAGGGATATTACAAGGCCAAACACAACACCACGGGAGAGGAGGGACTCATAAACTCCACCAATGTGCGTGAAAGAGAGGCTCTGCGTGTCGACCCCAGCCTCAGCCTCATGCCGTACGTCTTCTTTTCCTCTCTCACACTTGTTTCCTTTGTGTTGCTGCAGTTGGATGCAGCCATGTTTACACACAGTTCACAAGCAGTGTGACTGTGACACGTAGGCACATGTGGTTCTTACTGTAGCTGTGGCCTTGGTCAAACTTGAAAACATGTCTTGTGACCATACGGTGTGGGTAGTCCGTGCAAACAAACAGTCTCAGGATTAATCACCCCAACTTCCTATTTTGGCGTGTGAACGTCTGACATGTTTTCACCTCTTGTCTCATGGGAGATTAACATCTGTGAGGTATCTATGAGACAGATGTGTTTGTTATGTGTGTGTTTGTGTGACTCACCTTGTGTTTCTTTCTTTAGGTGGTTTCATGGGAAGATCTCAGGTCCGGAGGCGGTGTGTAAGCTGCAGCCAGCCGAGGACGGCCTGTTCCTGGTTCGAGAGTCCATCCGCCATCCCGGCGACTACGTCCTGTGTATCAGTATCTCTGGAGAGGTCATCCACTACAGGGTGATTTATAAGGACAACAAGCTGACCATCGACAACACAGAGTATTTCTACAACCTCATCGACATGATAGAGGTGAGACGCTCTTGGATCGAGGCTATATCCAATACAGATTCTTTGTATCCAAGACAAAATCCAGCTGTGACATGAGCAAAATCCCTGAGGATCTTGAGGATTTTGTTGAGTTTTGACCTCGTCTTTCAAATTTTAGCCAGATATAGCAGCATAAATAATGAATTTTACACCAGATTTGATGCAAACTCACCAGATCAATCTGAGGGGACATGAGACCATTAAAACACTCTGAGGCTATATTTATGACCTCAGTGTCAACCTGAAACCATCAGCATAACTGACACCAGTGTAAAAATACATACCTCATGTATCACAACGAAGCAGTGACAGGGAAACACATGAAGCGAAGCCCTTTTATGGTTTATCTGTATTTGGCCTGCATCTGTGTGAGGGTGTATTGAAAGCTTTGCAGCGGTGACATTTGGAGAGAGACTCGACAGACATGGCCGGCTCCCGTTCAGCACCATCTTATCAGCGAGCTACAGATGGCTTCAGGCCTGAGTCAGACCAGCTGACTTGCTCCTGTGAGGATGCAGAGGGAGGATTTCCAGATGAATATTTGGGCTGAATCATGTTATAACTGCTCTGTCCCAGTGACGGCAGACTGCTGACGATATAAAACCAGGCTCTGATGTGTCACTGTATCATAATTTACTTGTGTAATTTAATTCAGCTGCCGCCCTTTGATGCTTTGTGTCGTGTCGTCAGGAAACAGAGACCTTGCGCTGACACCGACTGACGTTTCATACATTTTGTTGTTCTGTTTTTCAGTTGATTTCTAAAGATAAATACTGGTCTTGTTGTTTCTTTTTAAAGCCATAGTCCTTCCTGAGCACTGTGGAGGTGTTATGATGTCATGATGGAGACTGATAATCCAGGGCCCCACTGTGAGGCGGGCCCCCGAAAACCTTGAATGAAAGTGTTTGGTTTTGTTTGCAATTTTTTTTTTAATTTCTAAGTAATTATTGCCATCGCTGAATTTAAATAAGCTGAATAAATCTGTTGAAAGTCTGAACTTTGTATACAAAATAGTAAAGGCTCTCTGAGGCCCCTCTCACCCCTCAAAGGCACAAAATGGTTTAGTCCACCCCTGCATTAGGATTGCCTCTAAATGCAGCCAGAGCTGTGTGAGTGAATGCCCATGCTGCTGGAGCACCAACATACACTGTCATGTCTTTGCCAAAGAAAGGGAAATCAGGGTTCAAACAAAGATAAGAAAGAAAGAAAGAAAGGAAGAAAGAAAGAAAGAAAAGGGAAGGGAAAAAAACAAACTGACTGTGTATAAAAATGTTCAAAAGGGGCATGAGGGGGACACTGATCCAGAGAGAATGGACAAGGGGCCCACAGAGTCTGCTTATGCACAGGGCCCACAGTATGGTGCTACGCCCCTGTCACTGCAGATAGACTTTGTAGGACAGATGTAAAAACAGAATGTGTTTGGTGAATATTTGTTGTGTGTCCATCTTTGCAGTTCTACTCAAAGAACAAAGGCTCCATCGCTACAACTCTTCTGAAGCCCAAACAGAAACAAGGAGCCAAGTCAGCTGAGCTGGAGTTGTCTAAAAGTAAGTCTAATAAAACTGTGTCTGTACAGATCAAATATAATAATAATGATGAATATGAGAGCTTGTAAAGGTACGTGTCAGGTTTACAGTTCATGTCTCTCTCCAGCTGGGTGGCTGCTGGACATCGCAAAGCTCAAACTGGGAGAGAGTATCGGAGAGGGAGAGTTTGGTGGTGAGTTTCTATTTATTATCTTTGTCCCCTCACAACATTTACAATAAAAACATGTCGCCAAATATATTGCAAACACTGCAAAACTTAAGTCCATCCAATCTTTTTACGACACAAAGATCATTACTGCAGCATTTATCTCCTTAAAGGGTAACTTCTGTATTTTTCAACCTGGGCCCTATTTCCCCATGTGTATGTGTGCATATGATTCATAGGTACAACTCATTTTAAAATTGGTTCAGTATTGAGAGAGGCGGATGCAGCCGGCAGCCGCGAGGTAGATATGGGGGCAAATGCGTCCCGTATAAGTTTGTGTATTAAAAGTGCTTTTTTTCGCCACTGACTGGTTCAGATCGCCAGTGCTATCTCTGTAAATAGCATACTAAGCGTTTCCCTGACCCTTCACCTCCTCCCGGGTGTGATGTCATCTCGCGAGAGTTTTGCTTGTTGCCGGAAGAAAACAGGGTACGATATATACGAGGGCAAAGTATGCAACAGTAAATGTGCGTCTCGGAGACAATTCTAGGTATCAGTGTTACATGCATAAAGACATATTAGTTATACTTACTTGATGGATAGTTGACCATTTGGTCCCTGTGGTTTGGGCCGCCTCCTCCAATTTATTTTGGGCACATGAAAAAAGGTATCCAGCACTGCCCTGTTGATCAGAGGTGGGAAATCCCCTAACGTAGTTACACAGCGTTTGGTAGTTTCTGTATCATCCCAGGACACATCGAGACCATGAATATTGGGCAGCAGGTCCCACTCATTGCAACACAGACATTCTTCCTCTGTGGGCATGGAGTCACAGCAAGGAGCACCAACAGTCCTCAGAGATTCGCGTTCGTGCAGCCGCTGCTTCACCCTCGTCTGCTCGTTGGCCCTCTCTCTCTATCCTCATCTGCTCTTCAATTTGTAGGAGCTCCTCGTCCGTATACTCGGGTTCAAATAAGTACGGACGGCCATCGTAATAAAAGGGCTCATCCTCATTCTTGAAATAAGGTAAATATGCAGCCATGATACCGATGCAGTAAAACTCTCAACTGTACTCCGGGACAACCAGCGCGACTCTAAGCGGCGCTCAGCATGGCTCCTCTGTTTTCTTCCGGCAACAAGCAAAGCTCTTGCGAGATGACGTCACAGCCAGGAGGAGGTGAAGGATCAGGGAAACGCTTAGTATGCTATTTACAGAGATAGCACTGGCGATCTGAACCGGTCGAAAAAAAGCACTTTTAATGCGCAAACTTATACGGGACACATTTGCCCCCATATCTACCTCGCGGCTGCCGGCTGCATCCACCTCCCTCAATACTGAACTAATTTTAAAATGAGTTGTACCTATGAATCATACGCACACATACACATGGGGAAATAGGGCCCAGGTTGAAAAATACTGAAGTTATCCTTTAAGGCTAGACTAGTGCAACTCACTGTACCCAGGTTTTTGGCCTGACCTCTTTGTCTCACCTGCAGCTGGTGCAGAATACTGCAGCATGTCTTCTAACGGCAACAGAAAAAGAGACAGAATTACAGCGACACTAGCATCTCTGCATTGGCTATCTGTCCGTTTATTTGTTTTATAGCCATACATGGGCTTGCTTGCACCCCTGGTCTCTAGTCTTAAAACTGTACCACAATCAAAGTAAGAGGCTAAAGGAAGACTGCGCCTTTGCAGTGACTGCTCCAGAACTTTGGAATAAGCATCTGCTTTCAATCAGATGTTCCCCTTCACTGACACTTTTAAGACAAATCTTTTATTGTTAGGATAAAAACTAAGATTGCATAATTGACTAAGAGTTCCAGACTAAGACGTATCACAAAGTTGTTAAAGATGTAAAAACCAACAAGAAAAAACAAACAAATTATAAATAAATCAATGAAGTGTTTAGAGTCTTTGCAAATTAGAGTCATTTTCAGATGTATTTTGAACAATAATGTAGATGATGATTGAAGAGATGGTCCTCTATATTGCAATGAATATTGATTAAGTGAATTCCGACAATATGGAAGATAAAGCTCCTTAGAGTGTCTTGTGGAATATGTGTGAATGTCTGAAAAGCACTTTGATCAGCTCTGTTAATATTTGAATGTGCTATATAAATACATTTGATTTGAGTGGATTTTAAACTTTGACAGAAGATTTATTTTGTCTCAGTATGGATGTATTTTGATGGGTAAACAATGTGTGTGGTTCTCTCTCCAGCTGTTTATGAAGGAGAGTATATGGGCCAGAGGGTGGCAGTAAAGACCATCAAATGTGATGTCACCGCTCAGGCCTTCCTGCAGGAGACCACGGTCATGACGTGAGTCTGAAGATTTCCTCGGTTTTAATGTGTTATTGTCAAAACACTTTGACCAGCTGTTTATTCATTATTACTAAACCCAGCTTTTAGTGAGCTTGCTTGATTAAAAAACTTAACTCTTTTTGGCTTATTGTGCAAATGATCATATTGTTTTGAATGAAATGTAACAAACTTTATTCCTGTTGTCAGTGTTGTCAGTGTTTTCAATGTGGATTCACTCCTTCCAGGAAGCTCCAGCATAAAAACCTGGTGCGACTGTTGGGGGTCATTCTTCACAAAGGGCTTCATATTGTCACAGAGCTCATGACGAAGGTACAGTGAACACATCATCTATCAGTGGTTATCAGTTGGAGGATAACACATGATGAAAACAATGAACAGTAACACGATAGAATAATCAAAATAGGTAAATAAATATTGAGCATAGATTGAAGTGGCCTTGTTACATCACAATGAAACAGAAAATAAAATCACATATAATAAATGACACACCACAGGTTTGTTCTATTTGACCAGAATTACCTCAGACGTCAAGATGCGTCACTGGTGGTACATCTACACCTAAACAACAGCAAGGGAGCCCTCTGTCTGAACAGAGAGCAGGAGTCTCTAGCTAACTCCCTTATTAAAGGGAAATTTCGGTTTATTTCAACCCGTCTCCTATCATTCTAAATTTGTTTCAAGTCACTAGTGACATAGAAATAATAGTTAGCATGTTAGCCGTTAGCCTAGATACAGCCGTAGCGTCAGACCTGTTAAAACTTAATTGAACGGGCATCCTTTCAAGTGCAAAGTTAGTCCACTAAACAAGCTTTTTTTCCACAAAGACTGCCTCATTTTGTTAGGATAAATGTCAGAGAACATATAGAAAACAACATGTAAACGTGTTGTCTTACCTTACCGGTGTGGTGCCATTTTTGTTGTTTACCATTTAGCTAAGGCCGCAACTGGTCCCATTCCTTGCAACAGAGGTATTCCTCTTCTGTGGGCATTGGGGCACAGCATTCACAGGTAACGTTACACCACTGATCTCCAGAGCTACACAGCCTTCCAGCAGCCATTCCTCCTCTGTCGTCCTCTAACGTTACCTGTTGTGCCTCTCTCTCTCTCTCCTCCTCCTCTGTTCTTCAGTTTCACGAAGCTCTTCGTCAGTGTATTCTGGCTCAAATAAATAAGGGCGGCCATCGACTCTCGATGTGGAAAGCCTATATACTAACATTCCACATTTAGGTGGTCTTCAGAGTTGTTGTCTTACCTTACAGTGTGTTTACCGTTTACCTCTGCTTCCCAAAGTGCGGCCGAAATATCGCGAGAACAAGCAGCTATCTCATACCGCGCCTGAAATCTCGTGAGAACAAGCAGCAGCAGCTGCAAGGCAGAACCGGACAGTAGCCTGAAAAGTTCATTCATTTATTTTATGAAAGATTTATAGAATAATGGCTGACTTTTTGCCAGACTTTTTGGCAGAGTTTGATGGCCGCCCTTATTTATTTGAGCCAGAATACACGGAATGGCTGCTGAAAGGATTTAGCTCTGGAGATTGGTGGTGTAACGTTACCTGTGAATGCTGTACCCCAATGCCCACAGAAGAGGAATACCTCTGTTGCAAGGAATGGGACCGGTTGCAGCCTTAGTTAAATGGTAAACAAACATGGCACCACACCGGTAAGATAAGACAACATGTTTACATGTTGTTTTCTATATGTTCTCTGACATTTATCCTAACGATATGAGGCGGTCTTTGTGGAGAAAAAGCTTGTTTAGTGGACTAACTTTGCACTTGAAGGTGTACTTGAAGGTATGCCCATTCAATTAAGTTTTAACAGGTCTGACGCTACGGCTGTATCTAGACTAACGGCTAACATGCTAACTATTATTTCTATGTCACTAGTGACTTGAAACAAATTTAGGACGATAGGAGACGGGTTTCCCTTTAACTATTTGCCTCCAAGAACACTGTGATCATCTGCTGCTGGTTTATTGGAGGTTCCTAGCAACAGTTGGAAGAAGATCAGGGATGCAGCGTTTGTCAATTATGCCCCAAAGCTATGGAACACACTACCTATAGATATCAGGGAAGCCAGCTCTAATTCACCACCAGCAGCTAGTGAGAAAAAGATGATATGGGGAGTTTATTAGTTTACAAAGGTTGTTTTCCTTTCACGCAATCTGGTCATCTCCTAGAGGACAGTCAGAGGGTTAGGGAGGCACACAGATAACTGCAGGTTTTTGTAGTTTTTAACGGAGTGAATGGCTTTGTGATTAATCTCCCTGGTTGTTTTTTCTCACGCTAGTGTTCTTATTTATAATGTGTTTTATTGTTATTTTTGGTTTTTATGCAGCAGTTCCCTTGATCAAAGACTATTTTCTCTTATGGGAGACAATAAAAATAACCTAACCTTAAAGCCAAAAATCCAACTAATCACACCCTTGCTGCCACTTGGAGCCGCCACTGAGGCAGTGGTAAGCCAGTAATGGCAATGCAGCTTTGAGGAGTCAGAGACAGCCGTCCTCTGCTCTTAAGTGATTAGGCCAACATTCAGAAGCTCATTGTGTTTGCTGGGCCTTGAGTACAGTTATATAGTGACTCTTTAAAAGTACTTAATACCTTAGGTTATGAGGTTAACACATTTGCAAACCAAAAAAGACACTGCCTGCTTGTAGTTTGTCTCATAATGCTAACTAAGAAATTTTTTAATAAGACCTTATGAAAGTATTTTCTGATTATGTGCATCTGTGTTTATGTCGCAGGGAAACCTTGTCAACTTTCTGAGGACAAGAGGACGTTCAGTTTTAAACTCAGTTCAGCTGCTTCGCTTTGCTCTGTGAGTTCAAACTTCAAAGAGTAACTTGTCCTCTACGTGTGCAGAGTAGAACATTGCATGACAGCTGGGTCCATAAACACCTGCTAGTCACTGTACATTTGTGTGTGTGGTTTATTGTATAAAAGTGAAATGACAGTTGTTTGTGTGTGTGTGTGTGTGTGGTCAGTGATGTTTGTGAGGGGATGGAGTACCTGGAGTCCAAGAAGTTGGTTCACAGAGATCTGGCAGCTCGTAACGTGCTGGTCTCTGACGACAGCGTGGCCAAGGTCAGCGACTTCGGCCTGACCAAGGTGGACTCAAAGGTGTCAGATAACGCCAAACTGCCGGTCAAATGGACCGCCCCCGAGGCTCTGAAGAAAGAGGTCGGTTTAAAGACCTGCTGTGCTGCTTTTCTCTTCCCTTTGTTTTTATGTTTCTGTATTTGTTTCTGCCTGTCTGTGACACTTAAATATTTTCTCTGCCTCTCTGAAACCTCTTTTTGGTGCTTAGAATTTTGCTTTATTAATGTTTAACAAATGATTGACTGATGCCTTATAATCAGCAATACTCCATCAGTAAGGAGCAGGTTGGTGTAAGGTCCTGACACATATCTTTCTCCACTTACTTTGTCTTTTTATTTAGTTCTTTCATTTATCAGGATGTCAGTGTTTGGCTATGTACTGGGTTTATAACAGCTTAGAAAGACCTTTCACAAAGTATCCCCAATAAGAAAAGGGTTTTACATTTTTTTATATGTTTATATTTTTGTTCCTATCATGCAGAAATTCTCCACAAAGTCAGACGTTTGGAGCTACGGTGTTCTTCTATGGGAGATCTTCTCTTACGGTCGTCAGCCTTACCCTAAGATGGTATGTAGCATCAGTACAGGTCACGACTATGCTGTAATAATATGTGTGTGTGTTGGTGTCTGTCAGTGTGTGTGTTTATACACAGGTGTGTCTTAGGAACATAGATACATTACAGACATGACAGTTACAGCAACAGCTGTGTTAAACCAAACATTTGACAGTTTGGGAACTACGCATATTTGTGTTCGACACCCCTCTCATGTCTGTCTGTTAAATATGAAGCTACAGTCAGGCGATGACTAGCTAGTGTAGCATAAAGACTGGAAACAGGGTGGAACAGCTCGCCTGGCTGGTGTGGTGAAGAGAGATCTGAGCCAGAAGGCGAAGCTTTAGATTTACTGGTCCATCTACATCCCAACCCTCACCTATGGTCATGAGCTCTGGGTAGTGACCGAAGGAATGAGGTTGCTGATACAAGTGGCCGAAATGACTTTCCTCCGTGGGGTGGCTGGGCTCAGCCTTAAAGATAGGGTGAGGAGCTCGGACATCCCGAGGAAGCTCAGAGTATAGCAGCTGTTTCTTTGCGTCGAAAAGGGTCAGTTGAGGTGGTTCGGGCGTCTGATCAGGATGCCTCCTGGGCGCCTCCCGTTGGAGGTGTTTCGGGAATGTCCCACTGGTAGGAGGCCCCGGGGCAGACCCAGAACACACTGGAGGAATTACAAATCATGTCCAGGCTGGGAACACCTCAGGATCCCCCAGGAGGAGCTGAGAAGCATTGCTGGGGAGAGGGATGTCTGGAATGCTTTGCTCGGCCTGCTGCCCACACGACCCAACCTCAGATAAGCATTTGAAAATGGATGGACTATGTTGTTTATTTAATCCGTACAAAAAAAAGTGTGAAAGCAACAAAATGTGGTTTATGTGTCAAACCATTTCTTGGCCGTGACCAGTTGATTTCGCCTTCTCATCTAACTCTTATGGCTCATTTATACTCCCTTTATGTACAAAAGTAGATACATCCAGTGCAAACGCTGTAAACATCACTGCCCTCATTCTTCCATGTGTCCTTTATGACAGCATAGATACAGCCAATAGATGGCACTAGAGAGCAGAGTCAAAAGTTTTCACTTCACAACAAACGAGGCGAACACAGAGGAGGTCAGAATATTGTACCTTTAAACAGAGGCAGAGTTGTAGACTGCAACCCCAATCGATTCCGACATGTGGATTAAAAATTCTTTTCACTGTTTTCACCATATATTACTATATATGCTTGCTTTATATGCTCTTGCCTATTGCTTTTTCTTTTGTACTGATCTGTGTGTTTCTCTTAACCGATACATATATTGCTTTGTGTTTTTTCAACTGATGCTTCCTGTTTGTTCTGTCTCTCTGCTGCTGTAATATTGCAAATTTCCTCGCTGTGGGACGACTGAAGGATTATCTTATCTCTTATCTTATATCATTATATATTACCAGATTGTTCTGTTCCACCATTATTTGAATTTCTTCGTCGGCTTCTATGGCCTTATCTCACTTGAGTCATTTTTTATTTAACCTTTTTTTAACCAGGAAGTCCCATTGAGATTGAAAATATATTTTACAAGAGAGACCTGGCCAAGGCAGCAGCCAATCAAAACACGTTTAAAATGCAACAAATACAACATATAATACAAAAATCCGAAATAAAACATCTATTCAAACACAGTGGTCTCTCAATAAAAACAAGTGTCTGTCTCCATCACTGCATTCTTTATGATGCCCTTAAATTCATTGATGGATATAAGTGTTTCTAATTTTAGATCTTTTTGAAGATTATGAAGACTATGCTACACTGCCTCTACGATCTCCAGTGGTACTGCTCCGTTTCACCCGTATCCGTAAGCTTTCAGAAAACATGCACAAATATGGACAAAATAAAAGCAGTGTACAGACAGATGCCTCTGTCCGTCTCTGTATCTAATGTTGAGTGCTGAGCACAAATCAGCAAGAAAGTCAAAAAGTCAAACTGTTTTTTTAAAGATTTGTGCTTAATATTTACGATTATCCTTTACTTTTATGATATCAAACAACTGAACAACCTCTCTTTATCCGAGAAGCTCTCCTTCCTTGTAAATAAAAAAGACCATGGACACCCTGTAAAGAATCAGCAAAACTAAGACCACAGATAATTCTTCCCTCTCTTTCCAAACCCTCCTGAAACCAGCAGAAAAAGAGTATCAGGCTTCTTACGTAACTCTGCAGGTAGGTGTGTCAGTGGAAAGCTGCCAGGGTGGTCAAATTCGTCACTAGGCCGTCATCTTCTGGACCAGCTCAAGACGTCTGAGCAGGAAACCACTCCAGGTCACTCGGATCATGGTAGTGCGTCACTGAGGATAGAGGTTAAGTGCACATTGTAGAAATAATCTCATTGTTCTCTTCTTAAATAGTCTACTTTATGAACTGTTTGGGTTTGGAGGAAGAGGAAGTTACTCCTTTCCTGTGCCGTAACACGCCTGTGCGGAGGAGGCAGAGGCTGACGTCACATGAAGGCCTAATCATGTTGACACTGATAATGAAGAGGTTCTGGAAAGGAAGAAACTATGCTACTTAAACACAGCTCTGTTTGTCACACTCGTCGCTCTCAGGTAATCCGTGCCCCCTGAACGCTGAGGCCGGCGGTTCAGTGAGGACAGCAGGATCAGGCAGAATTAATCGGAGGGACAGTTAGCACGTCTCTTTTGCACCTTACGTCGGGTAGTGTCCTTTTAAATGCAGATAATTACATCCTAATTACAGCCTGTTTGTAAGTATATACGCAGGTTGATGTATTTGGGTCAAGTTTGTGCTCTCCTTCATTAACCTCTGCGCAGGGTAATTTGTTATCTGTTGGCAACACATAACAAATTAGAGACCGAGAGAAGTGTTTGTGTAAGATTAGTTTTGTTTAAAAAAAATGCAGTGACACAAACACTTTATTTCACCCATTCAATAACAGCAGCACGGTGGTGCAGTGGTTAGCATTGTCAGCGTGGGTTTTCTCTTGGTTACTACGGCTTTCTGCCACAGTCCACAGACATGCAGGCAAGGTTAACTGTGTGTGAATGTGAGCTTGAATGGTTGTTTGTCTCTATGTGTCAGCCCTGTGATAGTCTGGTGACCTGTCCAGGGTGTAACCCCCCTCTTGTCCGTCAGATGGGATAGGCTCCAGCCCTCCCGTGACCTCTAATAGGATATGCAGTTACGGAAAATGAATGAATTGCTACCTTCAAGAGCCTGAATTCTGTGTTTGAGGTTGTAATCAGGATTGCAGGAGTGTGTTAATACTTGGTGACATCGCTCTGTCTCTATGTTCGAGTTAAAAGAATACGTCATCCGCAAAATGAGGATTGGTACATCAATTATGTTACATTAAATTCATGAAGAAGACTTTGTTTTTCTCACATACCTCCACAGTGAACGGAGATTCCAAAAACAGCAAACAATATTAATGAATTGAAGTCATTGAGGATCACGTTTAACAATAACAAACTATATCAAAACATCAATTTACAAACTCCCACACAACTCATGCAGTAAAATCCAAGTCTCAGTTATCCAGTCGTATGCTCAGTACTTCCCAAATACATGCATTTTCACTAAAAACATTACAATATAAAACACTCCAGTCTGCAAGTTAGCGTGCCCTGAGCGTATCTGGACATGCCTCAAAGGCACAAGCTACTCACCAAGCATGAGACTGTTTGTACGGATGTGTTTTAAATCAGAATGTTTTAGCAAAAGTGTAAGTGTTTCGAAGGTACTGAGGATATGAATGGATAAATGAGACTTGGATTATACTGTATGAGTGGTGTGAGAGTTTGTGAACGGATGTTTTGATATAGTTTGCTGTTGTTCAACTTGGTCCCCAATGGCTTCAATTCATGAAGAATATTCGCCTTTTTGGATTCTTCGTTCATCGTGGATGCATGCGAGAACAACAAGTTTTTTTCTCGAATTCAACATAACTGATGCACTGATGCTCAATTTGCGGATGAAGAATTTCTTTAAGGTTTTTCTTTTTATTACCAAAACAGCCAGGCTGGTGAAATTTTAAATTCACTTATTAGTGTTCACAATTTATCATCTGCTTCCTCTCTTATTGCTCCTGCTGATAGTCTCTGAAGGAGGTGAAGGAGATGGTGGAGGGGGGATATCGCATGGAGGCTCCAGAGGACTGTCCGCCCGGTGTTTACTCCCTGATGAGGATATGCTGGGAGCAGGAGCCACGCAGAAGACCGGCTTTCAACAAGTTGAGAGAGAAACTCGAGCGAGAGATGGGTAAATGCAGTCCGAGCCCACGGTCCGAGCATCGGGATGGATCTGGATGCTGATCTTGACTGTAAATCTTGAACTCAAAAAAATGAGGCTGGAGTTGTGGCGATGGACAGGTAATACACACACTGTTACCCGCTCCTGTGTTGGTGTGCGTCACACAAAATGGTTCAGTAGAGTTCTTACTGGATTCTTTTAACCTAACGGATGGGACAAGACAGTCATAATGTACCACTGGTTCTCATGTGATGCCGATGAGAGAGGGTTTTGTGGTTGGAGCCATGAATATACAAAACTTTGCTTTAGTGTATCTGAGCAAAGCAAAATGGATGTATCAGACCGTGCAGCATGGCTCTATGGATGGCAGTGTGGGTGTGTTGGTTGCACCACTGCTTTGGATCCTTGGCGTGAAACGTTGTACAGACATTCCTAGTCCCCAGAGGATAAATCCCAATGACTTTGATGATCCTCTGACTTTTCCTCTAGCACCACCAACAGGTTGACAAGCACAGTCTCTAACACTCCCCTCCAGCCAGCTGAGACGAAACGGAGCATTTCTGACATTCCCCAGACTGTGAAAAAAAAAGAAGTGGACGTAGCCGCTGTGACATCACCCATTGGTTTGTGGACTACCGCTTTGAAGCTTCGAGTTTGGCATTTTGGCCTTTGCCATCTTGGTGGAATAGAGGGCAAGCTGGGGAGGATACACATTGCTACGACCCTGTCCTGACTGACAGGTTGCTGTGGTAGCCATGTGTCAATCACAAAGTCACCACGTATGAGACTGCATACCCTGCTTTACCATCCTTTTTACTCTAAATGGGACCAACATTTACAAGATGAGCGCCGAGTTCCACTGAAGACGACTTGAAACTAGCAATTGAGACCAAAAATTTGTTGGGCAGATGTTTACAGGGGTAGTAAATCAAGTGAGAATTAGCGTCATTTCTCATAGACTTCTATAAATTGTACACACAAATTGTTAACAATAACTTCTGGGTTGAAAACCCCTGCATCACATACATAATGTCAAATGAAGCTGAGTTAACACCAACCCTGTTGGTTAGTTTAAGCAACCTAAAAGGAGGCCCACCAAAAAAAAAAAAAAAAAATGCAAAATGCTATATTTAAAACATTTTCCCCGCTTTACCTTGCTGCTAAACAGCTCTTTCCGAAAAGCAACTGAAGCAGTTATCCCAAAGCCTCCAGACCCCTTTGACAAAAACAAAAATTTTACTTTGCAGAACACAGGAGTTGCTGGTCTATCATTTCCACAATCCACAAGCATATTAATAATAAACTTAAAAATATACATGAACATTATTTTATACTATGAAAAGGAATGACTAAATGTGATTTCAGTTGGATCTCACCACAGGACAATGCACAGCCAATATCTGTGAAGTCTTTTGACACTGTGTTTGTAGCACCATACTAGATCCCATTCAATGACAAGAACAAACAATGCATTACTGCAGTTAACAAGTACCCAAAGCCGATGGTTAGTGGCAGTACAGCACCATAATGTCTCGGGGAAAAACACCATGTTTGAATCTCCTGAATGATAAATCATGTGTGAATGTCAGTTCAGTCAGTTTGATGTACAGTTTGGCATAAATAGTTTATTCATATTTAATGTTTGGGAGAAACAACAGGCAGAGATTAAACGTATGGGAAGCAGAGAGATGGAGAAAGAGGAAAAATGTTTATCCTGGATTTAATCACAGATTATCCAAATCTGTTTCTTGGTATTAATGCTCAACAATATGCCATGGACTCAGGGCTTAGAGTGAAAAATATTTAATGCTGTTGCTGGTTTGTTATAACAGAAGAATTTTACTTAATGCATACTTAAAAACACAGTGTGTGAAGGCAACACTGGCAGGTTTATTTGCAGCAGATACTCTGTTAAGGAGCTTTTTGACTTCAGAGAAAAACTTTGGAATTTACCGTTTGGAATTTGTTTTTTAGAAACCAAATCTCACACTATTTTGTTACCTAGACGCCAGAATAAATGTTGGATTTATACATTTCTGTACACGATGGATACATTACATTTTTACATTATTATGTAGCAGATGTTAAAACCCTATGTTTCTTTTCATTTCCATAGCGCCTTGGTTAACGTCTGGTTATGTTTAGGCACAACCAAGAATGGACAGCGGAGGAGATGCCCGCACAACATGCAACTGAGCTGGAGATCAGTGCAAAAAAAAGTAAATTTATTTAGGACATCTGTGCCAGAAAAGAACTGTGCTCAAATGCAAAAGATGATTAAAAGAAAAAAAAAGTGAACACTGCACTGCACTGATGATAGTCAAGGACTGAAACATTTGCTGCTGTTTTTATTCACATTTTAATTATTTTTTGCAATTTGAGCACCATTCTTTTTGTGCACAGATGTCCTAAATAAATTGACATTTTTTGCATTGATCCTAGCCTGTCAACCTTTTTTGTTGCTGTCCAACCCAGTTGCATCAGTGTGCAGGTATCTCCCCTGCCGTCCTTTCTTGGTTGTCCATTGTACCGACGCACTTAAGATTAACTTTTTTGTTGCCCTCAGTAGGCACAGCTTCACAGCAGCCCTAAGTTTAGGCCCAAAAATTACTTTGTTAAGTAATGTCCAGTAATTTCTGGAAAAGCAGTAATTTCTCAGTTAAAAACAACTGCTTTTCATGGCACTGTCCCTGCTGGAAACACAGCAATGGTTCAATAAAAAACACCCCCATTTGGAGCCTAAAAAGTTCCTGGAAAGGCAGCGATAACTTGCCAGAACAGTGGTCTGCAGCTTAGCAGGAATCTCGCCCTCCCGATGACAAAGTCAGCTCATATACTATGTCACTTTAGAAACTGTTGATGATACATATGAAACATACAAATGTTACGTATCCATTGTTAGTCTGCCAACTGGGCTGTATTTTTTTCATCGCATCTACCAGTCATCATACTTTGGGCAGACTTTGATTCAATTCATTCAAATTTAATTTATTTCCATTCCATTCCATTTAGCATTTAGTTATCACTACTTTCTCCTCCCTCTATACGAGGATTTTGAGATTATAAGAGTGACTTTGTGTTATCCACCGTCCTCTTGGGATTTTTGCAGATGCAAAATGTATTCTGCTTTCATTATCTTTGGACTTCACATCATTATATTACATATATGGTAACATATTCTATTTATTAATGTACCACTTGTTTCACTGCATGTGATTGTCAGCTGGTTTTAATAGAAATGCAATAATGTTCATCTCTCTGATGAGACAAATACATTTTCACTCCAAAAGTCACCACAAAATGAAGCCTCTTTTTTTTGGACCGTTATCACGTCACCACACCAAATTAAAGATGTCATTTGATTTAAGTCTACGTAAGCCTGGTATTTGTCTCTGTCCCAGGAGACGGACCCCAAATTGAGGCTTGATCCTTCCTCTCTTGTTATGGTACAGTGCAAGCGGAGGGTCTTCCACGATTTGTTCAATCTGCTCTGTGTGTTTTCCTGAAGCTCTCCAATGGGATGAGCTGCAATTTTCTGGACATGGATTTATAGAGGAACCAAATGTAAAAAAAGAAGAAGAAAATAATAATAAATGATTTGCTGTCTTCGATGGTAGATGAGTTATGTTATTGACTGAAAGATTTTTTCTCTTAAATATCAGTGGTTATTTCCTTGCTGTTTGTCAGTGTGTTTTTAAAGCACTGATGCAGGAATATCAGCACAAACTGCCCATAAATGAATGTGTGAGTTCTCAAGATATTTTTTCAGAGGGTCTTATGTCCTCTGAAGTGTGCTTTCTATGATTTTAAAGTGACTTTTAGGTTTAATTTTAGGGTGTTAACATGTAGTGCAGTGTTTTTTATTTAAACTGGACCAATTAAGATCCTCTTAAAGAGATACTTTGGATTTTTTTAAGTGGGCTTGTATGAGGTACTTATCATTTGTCAATATATTCGGTCAGCACACCCCCAGTTGGTAGAAGCAGGCTGGCTTACCCACACGAAAGCTAAGCAATGTATTGCTGTGGGGCAGCAGCAAAATGTATTTTAGCTACCTAAAAAAAGGTTCCACCAAAAAAATCTATCACAATTTAAGTGTGGGCTAAATTGAGAGTATTTTTTTACGCTTTAATTTTCAGTCAGACAGCCCGTTCCAAAGGGGAGGAACATTTTCAGTTCCCCATCTCAGAATCAGAATGTCCTTCACTGTCATTCTATCATTAAAAAACACAAAAAAATAGGGGTGCTACTCCTGTGAGATTCCAGCAGTTAAAACCACATCCTCAATACATTCTACCTCACACTAATAAACAATAGACAATAAATAAGTGTAGGTAAAATAAAAACTATACATAGTACAACTGTGAATATTGCACATAAAGTGTAGTAAAAAAAAAAGTGTATTGGAATTTGTTCAAAGTCGTTATTGCTATTTTGTGGGGAAAAAGCTGTGTTTGAGTCCAGGTTCTGAATGATCTGTAGGGCTTTCCAGAGGGCCATGAATCAAACAGATGGTACCCTGGGTGTGTATAGTCTTTGATGATGGCCAAGTCTCTACTGAGGTAGAGGGTGTTAGCAACCACTTCCAGGGAAGGAAGAGGACAGCGAGGCACCAAACTGGAGAGCAGAGAGCCACTGCACATCTTGCACCATCTTGCTCATCTATGCTCGCTGAACACGGGAATTGCTGGTCCACTCCTGCCTAGATTGGTTAGGTTGTTTGTGTTATTGTGTGACTTTGGTGAACTGAACCAATCCTTTAAGATATCAAAGTCTCACAATAGCACGGACAAAATAACTGATGAAGGTAGCGGTAGACGAGCAGCTTCAGCAGCTCCAGTGCTCAGCAATGTTAAATGGCTGTTTTACTGAATGCAGACTGGTGGCCTTGAAGAGAGTGATGTAACTGCTTTAGTTCCCCATCGGAAATCACTGTCTGATAATAAGGTTAACCGATGAAAATATTCTCAATACAGCGTACTGTGTAACTGATAATGAATATTTTAGGTAGTTAAAATATGTTTTGTTGCTGTAGCAGTACATTGCTTTGTTTTAGTTTCAGGCTCCTGCCTGCTTCTCCAAACGGGAGACATGCCGACTGCCATCTACTGTATGTAATACATTTACTATGGGTAAGAACCTCATACAACCCCACTCCAACAGATCTGAACTATCCCTTTAAAGCCCTCGTGTTTAACAGATGGTGGTAAATGCTATGGCTGAATGATCTATGGACATCAGTAGATGCTCTTTCCTGATGGAGCTCTGCCTGTACTGCAGCCCCCGTCAGTTTTTGCTTGTTTTGGAGGCTTTTTGTGTTCAGTCTTGTCTCAGATGCCTTTCAAGGATTTATACTGATTTCCCAGCCTCATCAATAGACTCCAAATGTGAATACTGCACCAAGAATCAACTTTTGTTATGCTCTTTCATCCATAAAGTCATGATGAAATGACACATCTGCTGAAGAAACAGTTGAGCAGATAATTATTGCAGTCAACTGATTAAATTTGTATGTAAATAGCCTTAAATCAAAGCTTAGAGTCATCCCTTTAACCTCATAGTCACTGTTTTTTTTCCACATCTAATTTGCTGGATTACAGAGCAAAAACAAAGTGTAACTGTTCTACGACTACTTGGAGACTGCACAGTGAAGGCTGTTTTAGGGGCCGTTGTACGACTCATAGTGGAGCCAAGGCAGCACTTGACAGCTTCTAGACATGCAGCAGTTTGAAAAGGGATGGTGAACCAACTTAATGAGGCTTATCTTGGTTAGATTTAAGTAGATCGTGGTCACTTCAAAAGGTCTTAGGTCAAAGAAAAGTAGCTAATATGAGCTAATTGGTATTAGACATAAGATGCTCTTCCAAGAAAACTGAATCATCTGAGCATCTGTTCGTCCCTGGAGAGGTGCCCTCCTCTGCTGCAGAAACCAACCCATCAAGAAGAAGCTCACTGTCCCTTTTCAACCAGACTGACTGGTCTACTCAACAATTTGAGATCATGAGTCTTTGAATCAGAAGGAAAGTAGTCTGATTCACCGGATGTAGACTGTAGACTGTAGACTGTGGCCATAAACCTGCAGTTGGCTGACTGTTAAGGCGGACATCCCGCCACCTTCAGCTACATGCGTGTCACCATTTTCAAAATCCCCCAGTTCCAGGAAACAACAACAACAGCCTCCAAACAACCTACACGCTGAAAACAAGTTTTGATGAAGATTTAGATCATTCTACAAGGCATGCCTGCTTTGTTCTTTCTGTGAACCGTTATAAAGATTTACAACTAATACAACAACTTGTCAACACACCTTGGAAATGATTTGTCACACCTCTTTACCCTGGGAGCAGCATGCGCCAGTGACAATGACTTTACCAATGTACTGATCTGTTCCACCACCCACAAGCTTCTGTAAAATTGACAATAAATAATAGGATATAATAATAAGAAGAAGAAGAAGAAGAATAATAAAATCTAAATTAAAACTACATCTTTTTAAACAATAAAAATAAACTGAAATGAGTAAACCTACTCTGGAAACAAACTGAAACTAAACTGATTCACTTGTTTATTTGTCACATGGAACAAGGTACAGCTCCAGTGAAACATTTATCCCATCGGCTCCTTTAACTTGTGCACTGTAATTTAGTCCCTTTATGCTTTCTCACATTGATGGCTCCTGCTTTCTAATTGACCGCGTTTCCGGGTGGTTCTGTTAATCCAGGGTTTCTGATTGTGGAATGATTTAACTGTCCACACATCCTGACCTCAACAAGACAGCCACATAGTCACCCCTCCAGAACACAGGCAGCAACTCTGCTCTGCCACTGCCTTTGCAGCCGCCTCTTTATGGCGTATGATCAACAGCAGGACAGGGACAGCAGCTCAAAGCCCCAAGATACACCAGTCCTTATTCATCATAAAGCACACGCCTCCTGTCATTCTCTTATTAGAGTCCTCTGCAATGTCACATGGCATATAGGGAAAAAAGCCTCCTGGTTGAATGGTGTTGTCCAGGATCTAGCCAAGTCTTG